GATAGCCCCCAAAGATGAGGCTTTATATTGTCATATTACACTAAGAATGATCCGTACAATATCGTCGGAAAGGACAATAATAGAAGACATGGGCATTACTATACTAGTGAACTTCGAAGAACAGCCGGTCTAGTGAATATCATCAACGCTATCCAACTTGAAGTTAGATGGTTAAGATACATTGTCATACCTAGTGCACGACCTGATCAAAGATAAATGTGTAAAGAGATTGTATACTATGATACTATTTATCTTTGTTACAAGGAGGTAACAATTATTATCGGCAATTAAATGTTAAATTGCATGGTTTGGATTGCGTCAAAAATTTTAAGAATTTTTTTTTGAAATTTGAGTCTAGTCAATGACCTAGTAACAATCACCCAATTTAAAATCTGATGGATTAATTATAACCTCTTTACATTAAAAGTAAACAATCGCTTTATATGTATTTTAATTTTCGTTTTTATCCAAGGTGAAAACCTTTACTAGAGGAAATATTAATATTTATAATGAACCTGAATTTGAGCCTTGAAAGAATCTTCAGCCGAACGATGGTGTAGGTCCCAGGGCGCATAATGACCCTCATGGATCACAGCTCACATATTAATGTCACATGAACCTAAGACCAATGTTTCACAAGCGGGACATTTGGCTCGAATAATGCGAAATCCAATCCGAAAAATCAATTCTTTACATCAAAATTTCGGGCACGAATCTGGTAAAAACTCACAAGAGTTTCTCTTTATGTCTCTTCAAATCTTTTACCCAATTCATTAGAGAAAGTAGAATGTGCCCTAGGGACCAAAGGGACGAATTTGGGTTAGCAAGAAATGGGACATAAATCCTAGTTACTTTCCAACAATGAAAGAGGCGCAAGTATGGTAAGGTAACATGTCATTTCTTGTGAAGGCCTGGGGTCCACCAGTTATGTAACCCAAAAGCAATGTCCACAAATGTCAATACCAACAACACTACTGGACTTTTAGGTACCTGCCTTGCAAACTCTAGATAACAACTTCAAACCAAACCAAACCAAGCCAAGCCAAGCCAAGCCAAGCCAAACCGAACCCAAACTGGCTGGCAAAGGGCCAGGTAGCCCGGCCCTGCTCCCGTTAGTCATTCCTTTTAAAAAAGTAGGTCATGGGTCACAAACTGTGGCTCGAATGCTGGGCTAGGGCTAGGGCCAGTGCCGACCATCTTTTTTTCTTGTCTTTTTCTTTTATTTTTTCTTCATTTGTTTTTGGCGTCCGCCAGGCTGGCCCGTTCATATGGTTACTGCCAAACCCGGCCCATTACAAACTCAACCGGTAGTGTCATTACTTGGCCTATACAAATAAAAGTGGAAAGAAATCAAAAGGAATTATCATGGCCGGCAGGCAAATCAAAGAGGAAAGCATCCTCATGTGGTGCTAGTATGATGTCCTTTTCATCATCTGAATCCTACCAAAGCAAAAAAACCAGGAAACCTCCTCCTTACGGTCTTGTTCCTTACAATCTGGACCTTCTCTGTCTCTCCTCCCTTCGGCCTAAGAATCCATGGATGAAGACTGTGATTACTTGTTCAAGCTGGTGTTGATCGGAGACTCAGCAGTGGGAAAATCTAACCTCCTCTCACGGTTTGCTCTCAATGAGTTTCGCCTCGATTCGAAGCCCACCATAGGTGTGGAATTCGCCTATAGAAACGTCGTCATAGCCGACAAGCGCATCAAAGCACAAATATGGGACACCGCTGGCCAAGAACGGTTGGTAAAAACTCTCTACTCCACAAATACCTCAACTGACAAATTTATATTTGCTAGAGCATTTTTTCTATTTCCTTTTTTTTTTTTTGGTTTTTTTTCTTTTTTTTTTTTGAGATTTTACAAAGACTTGCACATTATCAAGGCTATTATTACAACGATTTCAGTGATTTTGCGTATGTTTCAATGGTATCACAAGCAAATAAAACATGTATTTCTAAGTATTTGTTCATCTTCATGCAATACCCCTTTTTTTTCAAACATTCATAAGACAACCCATACGGTACCTCTAGCTAACCCAAGTTTTTAGGGTTCCAGATACAGGGCGATCACGAGCTCATACTATAGGGGTGCGCTCGGGACACTCTTGATATACGACGTAACAAGGAGGGGCACGTTCGAGAACGTGGGGCGATGGCTAGAAGAGGTCAGGTCCCATGGAGACTCAGACATGGTTGTGGTTCTAGTGGGCAACAAATCGGACCTTGAGCATGCTAGAGAGGTTCAAATGAAGGAGGGACAAAATTTTGCAGAGAGAGAAGGATTACACTTTATAGAAACATCAGCTCTCCAGAAAACAAACGTAGAGGACGCATTCATGACGATGATTACACAAATACACAACCTGACCACAAGAAGAACTCTTGAAGCTAAGGAGGGAGAGGTGGCTCACTTGGGGCCTAAAAGTGGCCAAACCATACTCAACATAGACAACGAAGTGTATGCCACAACTAAGAGAGAGAATTGTTGTTCATAGCCTTGAATGAAGAGCCCAGCCCCCAACAAAAAAAAAAAAAGGGGAAAAAATGAAAAAGAGTTATTTCAAAAATTGATGGGATGTTGGCTTTGGGAGACAAGGAGTACATGAATCATGATGGTCAGTCATGGTGCTTTGGTCACGGGTCTGCATGCTTTTTGCTGTACACCAAAAGGGTTTTGGCTGTGTCGGTCTGTTAGCTTTTGATATTTTTTGGTCTTTGACAACACGAAATTGGTTCAAGAAGATGGATGTTTTTGTTTTTTTTTTTCTGGGGTCATTCAATCGGAAAGATAAGCTTCTACCTATTATTTTACATAAGATCATGTAGTTAGCCTTTTTTTTCTTTTTTTTTTTTTATTAAAGTGTTAGTAATGTCAACAGAAAATTCAAAAAACCACAAGACTAGAAACCACAACATAATAACTACACAAGGAAGTGCTACCACCACGACTCAAACCCTTTCCTAACATCCATGTTTCTTTTGTCCTCATGTTCTTTTGTGTTCTTCACTAGGATTGGTTTGCAACAGTTTGTCGAGGGGGTGCAAGCATTCTGATTAGTGTGCTTTTCTTTTCTTTTTTTTTCCTTTTTTTTTAACCTTGAGCGAATTATTGTCTCGAGAACCGTCAAGTTTCCCCGACATGAGAGAGTAATAGCCCGGGTTTGAAGACCCTAATGCCCACCGGTTCCGGCAATTTTTTGTTTTTTATTCACTACTAACCTTTTGCTTTCTAACTTTTTAGTTTATACATAAAAAATCTCCGAAGTACTGCATACCAGCTCACAACTGCCCAGTTGAGTCAATTTGGGTAGGCCGGTCAGTTAGGAATGGCAATGGGGTAGGTGCCCTGGCCCGGCCATGACGGTCCAGGCAGCCGGGCCCTAAAAAATTAGGACCTACACCACAAAATGTGATCCAAGAGCAGGATAGGGCAGAGCCAATTTGGGTCACGCCCAGGGCCGGTCTGGCCCTTGTTTCTTGCCTTTTTATTATTTTTTTTAATTTTATTTAGCCCAGCCTATAGGGCATGGCTAAGTCCTGTTTGGACTATTCTAGGATACGGTTAGCCCAGCCTAGTTCTAGCCCGTTGCTAGCCCTAGGTTCAGCTTTAAAACGAATGGGTTGACGGTCACAAGTAAATAGTGCTTCTTACTATCAGTTGAGATCTAAAGAACCGTTGTAGGGTGGACTCAAGCGACCATCTTAGCACATAGTTTGGTGCCCAACCCATAGGCAGGGTTGGCGATGGGCGGGGCTGGCCTTGGCCCTAGCCCAACACTAGTCCCCATAAGGTCGGCCCAGGTTACTGCAATCCTTGTCCCGCCATAGAGGCCTTGGGCCAAGCCCGGTCCTAGCCCTATCAAGGCCAAGCCTAAATGGGTTGGGTTAGTAAAAAAAAAAAAAAACTCAAGGTAAATAGATGTCCAGGCCGGGCCAAACTAGGGCCAAACTAGGCAGCCATGTCATGGCCTAGGCCTAGTATCCCAGCCTTAACCCGCCCCTCATGCTACATTTGGTAGCACAAGCCCTAGTATCTTTGGGCTGCGCTAGGCCACCCGACCCATTGCCACCCCAGGAGACTTTTTTAATGAACAGTTTTCAGATCATCCTTGACTCACCTTGTCAACAATTTAGAAAAATAATAGCCTCATTAATTGTTTTATCATCTGGAAACCAACTTAATTTTTGGGGGGAAAATTAATTTAGAGCGCTTTTTTGGACTTCAAATTACTTTTTTTTTTTCCCTTTAAACTGATTTTAGGTATGAGTAAGGATAATGCACAGATTTCAAACAACGAAGGCCCCATGTTATAAATAAGTGATCTTGTTGACGTTGATCTCACCAGACTACCAAATCTTATCCTAAGAGAAAAAATGTTTAATTGTCTTTGTTTGATTAATAATAGAGAATGGGCTTTCGTTTGTGAGTTAACCCTCGTACATACGGGTCGCAATTGGGTTTGGGTCTACCCACTGACCGGGTCCAATCTGGGTCCAAATGACTTGGATCTCTAGATCCGGGGTCTGGTATGGACCCTATCAGGCCGGGTCAAGGTTAAGCTAACCACCCTGTATAAATATATAAAAGATATGAAATATGTATACTAAATAATATATAGAATACTTTTTTTGTTTTTTAAAATGTCCTGACCCAAGTTCAGGTCCGAATGACATGGACTCAACCTGGGTTCTAGGTCCAGGTTCCAGTCACTTGGACCCAACCCAGATCCAGATCGGGTTTAGTTCAGTGATACCTAATCATCCCTACTCGTAGAAAACAAGTGACCTTGCCGATTTGGATGAGGCTACGATGGAATTTATTTTAGGTATACCAGCAAATTACATGTGACAATGGGCGTAAAGATACCAAAAAAAAAAAGAAGAGAAGAAAAGAAATTGGCAATGAAATGGCTAAATTTGAAAATTTATTTAACCTAGGTATCTTTTTTTTACTATTTTGTTAGAAAGTTTACTAATTTTTTCTTTTGAGCTTTGAACTTTAAAGAAGAGAGGGTATTATAGTAATTCACTAACTCAATCACTCGATTCAAATGAGGGAAAAAAAATATTCTTGTGAGTTCTAAACAATTAACAAAGCTTGAGTTTTAGCAATTATGAACCCTAATTGACTTGTTGGTTATGATGAACCCTATAGTTCCTTCCTCTTGTTCAGGTATACAACCTGTTGTATATTTTGCTTAAATATTCAATGCTCGACTCTAAAGTAGCCAACGTCAATACCTCCAACTTTAGTCTTTTTGCAACCGAAAAAAAAGAAAAAAAAAATCCATCACCTTAAACCAACGAGCTCATGCAACCCAATATACCAAAATTCAGAAAAAGAGAAGTAAAAATCGTGCAACCCATTTTTTAGTGTACTCGCTGCAAAAAACAGAGTTATGGTTTTATAGCACAAAAAAATCATGTTTTAGTACAAGAGAAACGGGTTATATTTTTATTGTATGCTTCATATAGTTCAAGAGAAAAAAAAATTTGTTTTGGTAAAAAAAAACACTAATTTTTTTATTTTCTTCAAAAACAATTATTCCATGTAAACGAGATTGCTCATAAAAACATTGCTTTTGCACAACATTAGAAAAATTATTTCTTTTTTGTAACTTAGCATTAACAGTTTAAATAAGAAAGTTTTTACCAAAAACACACTGATTTCCTGATTTTCTTAGGAATCCCATGTAAACTACGATAGCTTAAAAAAACACCTTAAGGAACCAACGTACGTAAGGAAAAGTAGAGAGAGAGAACAGAGGAAGGAAACAAGGTAAGGAGAAGTAGAGAAAGAGAGAGAGACAATCACTATATCTAATGATGGCCAAGTTTGGAGTATGCAGCAGAACAGTTTGGAGCTTAGAGGGTTGTCCGAAGAGGACTGACTGGTCTTCGAAAGAATAATACCATGGTCCCTCACTTTTACGTCTCCCGTGATGATACATTGTGGTCACTCTCACTCGATCCTCTTCTCTAGCATGGGTAGCAGTAAAGTAGTGCTTCATATCCCACAAGAATTTCTCTAGCACCTTTGTACTTCTATCCCCACCAAGAGGCTTTGGCTTAGGCACCTTGACTCATGACTATTCAAGCACACTAACAGAGTTGCCCAACACCCTGTTGACTCAACGGAGCTCCTCATTTATTGACTTGAGGTTATCCTCATGTACCCTTGCACCTCCTATCTATCCACTGTCCCATCTAGTCGGGTGCTAAGATTTAGAGTATGGATATCACATTGAGAGAGAGTGTTAGAGTATGAATATCTCATGTTAGTAATGATATACATCATTACTATACACATCAGTATTGTACATATCAGTACAGATATGGATATCTCATGTTAGTATTGATATACATCATTACTGATACATATCATGTATCTGTATAGGTATGTATCTGTATGGGTATATATCTCTTGATAAGATTATGTGTCTAGACAAGATTAGTTAGTAAGTATCAATAATTATTGGTGTTTATCCAGAACTATTACTAGCCGTATATTTATACGAGGTCTTGTATATTCTTTATTAATCAATAAAGAGAGAGTTTTCTGCAGTATTCTAAAATAATAATCCATGAGGCCGCAAGGCCCAAATATACAGAAATGCAGTTTCTAATATGATATTAGAGCCAATTATTTTTCTGAATAGTTTTCTTTTTTTGATAAGGTATTTTCTGGAGGATGGATTTTTAAGATCTAGGTGGATTGTGAAGCCATAGAAGCTTGGTTTCATTGGTGAGCTCCCAATCCCAATACCTGTCCACGACAGTCTTGGTTTTCTTCTTCTTCTCAGTTTTGGCATCAACGGCCAATAGTTGACTTCTTCGGTAAATTAGTGTAGAGATCGTTACCTTTTGCTTCCTCCAACCAGGTTTGAAGTAGTCGTAGCCTCTTTGCACAGCCTATCCGCATCGAGGCCTCAGATTCGTTCCGAAACATTTCATGCCATCTTCTCCTCAAATCGAAGCCTCAGATTCACCCACTCATTTCGTTCTTTGTTGTTGTTGTTTTCCTCTTTGAATGCCCCAGTTCGACATTCGTCAATTTGCAACAGAACGAGATGTTGCTCATGTTCTTCATCTATGGTGTCATCGGTCTTCTCAGTGAGAAGACAAGGATCATGGTATAGTAAATAGACCATCAAGAAACTAGTTTAGCACTGCTTGTTCATGTCTTTATGATCGAGTTTTTCGTTACTCGATCATGTTGAATGAATGGGATTTCCGTTAATTGATCATGTTTAATGATTGAGTTTTATGTTACTCAATCCTATTGGATGATGGAGTTTTTCGTTACTCCATCATATGTGATAATCGAGTCTACTCGATCTTGTTTGTTCTGGATGCTTATGTTTAATGATTGAGTTTTTTGTTACTAATCCTATTGGATGATGGAGTTTTCTATTACTTCATCATGTTTGATATTCATGTTTTTCGTTACTCCATTATGTTTGATTATCGTATTTTTTCGTTACTCGATCATGTTTGATGATCGTGTTTTCTGTTATTCGATCCTGTTTATTGATCGAGTTTTTCATTACTTGATCCCGGATGTTCCGAATGCCTGTTTGTCTGCTGTTGATCGAGTTTTTCGTTACTCTATCCCAATGTCCCGGATGTTCTTAAGGTCGTCTGTTCCTGAGGCTTGTTGATCGTCTATCCATGAGGTTTGTGGATCTGCATTGCAATATGTTTGTTGTTCAAGCAATCTGTGCTTGTTGTTCAAGCAATCTGAAGATCACTACTCAGTTTTGGCAATCTAAGCAATATAAAGATCACTACTCGTTTTGG